TCTCTCTCTCTCTCTCTCTCTCTCTCTCTCTCTCTCTCTCTCTCTAAATGTACTTTTATGATTTTTATGACTTTCTATTTTCATCGATGCTTTTCAATAACTATATAATAATTAAGAATTGTAATTTAATATTTTTTAATAATCATCTAGTGACAGGAGTACATCGTACATATTTTGCCATTCATTAATAAATATATATTTCATTAATGACCTCATTTTAAGACTTCTTTTACTTGTGATCATAGTTTTTGTTTGGATTTGACTGCCAATCACTACATGTATTTTTCTTCTTCTTCTAAATATTCTAAATATTCAGATCTGAAGTTAATGCCCAACCAGAACTAAAACTTTATAAGAGTTATCTTTATAAACTTTATCGGAGTTATATCTTAATGTTCTCCCTTCTAGAGCAAAATTTTCCAACAAAAGGAAAATTTTCTAATTCTTTGTGAAAGCCAAGTCGACAATAATGAGTATTTTCCAGCAACACAGTGTGACATGTGCGACCCAATGCTTTCCAACTACGACACAAGTTGTATTAATTATCAAAATCGCTACACCGCCAGATTTTGCAAATAGATGTGTATAAAGTTTTATTCAAATATAACTCGCATATGCTCTTATACTACACCACTCGAGTATGTTATAGATTAGATATTTTGTGTTGCAGGTGTTTTGCCATGATGACCATTTTTTCTTGTTCGTTACATTGCTTTCCAATCGCTTAACACATCTTGACATACACGTATACAAAACCAGTTTATTGGTCATATATTATCTAAAATATCTTATAAGATAATATACAACCAATAAACTGGTTTTAACACAGTGTACGCTACTGGAAAGCACCCATTATTATCGTGTAGTTACTCTAAGCAGAATTTGGCCATGACTGCTGTTTTATCAAAATCCTGCGAGAAAGGATATATTTTCAATCTCTTTCTTTGTTTATTGTGATGAAAAGTTTAAGAAAAATAGTGGACCGTGCATATGCGCGTTGGTCACAAGCCATGTGACCAACACCGACAGGGATGTATATCAGTTGGACACGGGGCAATTGGACACAGTCCAATCACAAGTCGCTGTTCCAAGGGACCCTACAAATGTCTCTAATCACACGGTGCTGTGATTGGCTGTGTCCAAATGCATCGTGTCCAAGTGCACCGCTCCCCACCGACAGATGCTGGATTCACAAAGTTTGTTCGAGCAGAGAGAAGAATGAGAGCCATATTTGCATTTAGAGCGTGATGGAAAAGTTGGCTGATTTACAGCACCTCTATGTCCATTTTTTATGGACATTGAACTACTAAGCCAATGTCCACGATGACTTGCTCTGTTCCGTGTTCTGTCGATAATTCTTGGTTCTGCTCCGTGCTATGTGCACAATTATCTAATTCTACTTTGAGTTATAAGTACGAGTAATAAATAATATTAATGTTTTCAAAGACTCTATTTTATAATATTTAGAAATATAATAATTAAAAGTGTAATGTAATGAATATATATATATATATATATATTTTTTTTTTGTTTCGTTTTTTATTCCTACTTATACAGCACAAATGTTTAACAGATATCCTAAGAACGTTCTAAAAATATTCGAATATTACTAGGATATGTAATGAACATTTTTGCTATATAGATATGTACTGCTAAATATATTTGTTGTATATTAAAATCAAAGGGAAATCTTTCCTGTTAATAAAGGATTAGAAATATACCAGATAGAAAAGCGCATTTATTTCATTCATGTCGACAAACATGTTTCGAGCGTTTAGGTACCCGGGTGTATATCAGTTGGACACGGGGCAATTGGACACAGTCCAATCACAAGTCGCTGTTCCAAGGGACCCTACAAATGTCTCTAATCACACGGTGCTGTGATTGGCTGTGTCCAAATGCATCGTGTCCAAGTGCACCGCTCCCCACCGACAGATGCTGGATTCACAAAGTTTGTTCGAGCAGAGAGAAGAATGAGAGCCATATTTGCATTTAGAGCGTGATGGAAAAGTTGGCTGATTTACAGCACCTCTATGTCCATTTTTTATGGACATTGAACTACTAAGCCAATGTCCACGATGACTTGCTCTGTTCCGTGTTCTGTCGATAATTCTTGGTTCTGCTCCGTGCTATGTGCACAATTATCTAATTCTACTTTGAGTTATAAGTACGAGTAATAAATAATATTAATGTTTTCAAAGACTCTATTTTATAATATTTAGAAATATAATAATTAAAAGTGTAATGTAATGAATATATATATATATATATATATTTTTTTTTTGTTTCGTTTTTTATTCCTACTTATACAGCACAAATGTTTAACAGATATCCTAAGAACGTTCTAAAAATATTCGAATATTACTAGGATATGTAATGAACATTTTTGCTATATAGATATGTACTGCTAAATATATTTGTTGTATATTAAAATCAAAGGGAAATCTTTCCTGTTAATAAAGGATTAGAAATATACCAGATAGAAAAGCGCATTTATTTCATTCATGTCGACAAACATGTTTCGAGCGTTTAGGTACCCGGGTGTATATCAGTTGGACACGGGGCAATTGGACACAGTCCAATCACAAGTCGCTGTTCCAAGGGACCCTACAAATGTCTCTAATCACACGGTGCTGTGATTGGCTGTGTCCAAATGCATCGTGTCCAAGTGCACCGCTCCCCAGCTACCCTACTGAAAAATTTCTGTTGAGATAACAATAGAATTCCCAATTTAATTCTCAGTTAAATTCTCAATTGAATTCTCAAATGCGGTTTCCGCAAAAATTCGCATGTAAGATCTCAATTGAGATATTTGTATCTGATGGAAATAATTTATTGAAAATATAATAAACTTTTGTTGAAATGCTTTTGAAAAGCATTCACAATTTTGATCCAATTTTATTAAAATTTCGTTATAATTTCATTAATATTTCGATAATATTTCATTAAAAATGTAGAAAAATTCAGTGAAAAATCATTATTAATTAGAATAGATTGAGAAAAGTATAATGAAGTATTATTTTGTCTAAATAATAAAAAAAACTGTAATTTCATATTTTGTGTCGTTTTATTTATTCGTAAGATTCGCGTGGATTCGATCCCGTGTCACAGTCACTCATCTTTAGATGACTATGCGCTGTTCAATGCCTAACCTCAACGATCATCCTTCCTTCCTTCTTGGTTTGGCCCCGGATAGAATCCATCGCCATCTGGTGTTTCCAACAGATTTGAGCAGCCATAAGATGGCCGCTTAATTCAAATACTGATATCCGAGTTTTTTAAGAATTTACAAACGATGTCTAAAACAATCGGTGTTTCAATGAATGCGAGTTCGTGTATGTCCTTTGAAAGATTAAATCTATGCAGATCCAATAGCAATGCATCAGCATGCCTTTTAAAGTCAATACAATAAAAAAAAAAATGATTCGCTGATTGAGAATCGTGACCACACGGGCAGGATTTATCTGTAGTTATGCCTTTGTCGTACAAATGTAAGTTGCACCTGGTATGAAATGACCTAAGTCTATTAATTATAACAATGTACTTTCTAGAAATATGCTTAAATTGCTTGAACCATGGATTTGACAACTCTTTGTTTCTGGTTCTATTAAAATATCTGTAGCCTTTATATGAAGCAATTTGTTCCAATATAGAGTATGAAATCTGTTATAGTGTTTCAAAGTTGCTGAACAGAAGTTAGAATAAAAATAGCGGTTTTTATGATGGGCAACAAGATTTGTACTCTGATGTGCTACCTGCGATGCGAGAAAGTCTACTAGATCATTGCCATAAAGATTAATGTGCTCAGGGGCCCAGGCAATCATTATATTACTACCAAAGTTATTGGCCGAGAGCAAGAGTTTCTTGATCACATATATATAGTGTGGTTTAGATCCTTGGTAATCCACCGAGCTAATAGCTGTTACCACGCTTTTAGCGTCGGTAACGATTAAATAATTAGTCCCAATTTGTGATTTTATATACGAAATGGCTTTGATAATAGCTAAGGCTTCGATTTCAAAAATAGAAAAATAACTATTTGTAGAGCCCATAATGTATTTTTTGTTCCATACGAAGTAACAGACGTACCCTCCAAGACCATCAACCATCTTCGAGCCGTCGGTGAAAATAACGTGATAGTTAGAATATAACTTCAGACTATCCTTAAATATAACATCTGCCTTACTCATTGTGCGGCACGATTCCGAAATGAGATTTGATAGATTATCAACAGCGAGTAAAGATGCATTAAAATTTCTATCGATTTGAGTAAGCCCTTTCAAGTTAAGAAATTGGGCTCCAAGTTACATCAGTATGGACCACGCAAAGCCTAGTTGGAAGATCAAAGTTCAAAGCACCAGAGAACGGAAAGGTGAACAATTGAGGAGAATGCGATGCAACAATTCCCTTAACCATGAAGAGGAACTTAGAATTAGTATCTGCGAGGTTGATTGTATTAGAACACAGCCATGACATCCACAAGGGAAGAAGGGGGTGCGTATCGATTGTGAGTACTTTCGCAATCATTTTTGACATCAGAAACGAAGCTCGAGTATGTAGATCTAGTTCTCCGTTGATATGAAGAATCACATTGGTGGGAGTAGTAGACATCAATCCACTAACCACTCTAAGCGCCGCAAACTGTAATCTATCTAAGATAGAGAAACTGGAGTGATTAACTTCTAATAGAAAAGAGAGTGAATAATCTATAAGAGAGCGAATTAATGATTTATATACCGTGAGAAGCAATGAGGGATGTGCTCCCCATGTAATACCAGCAATTGCCTTAAGCACGTCTACCCTCTTTTTAATGCCCGTGACAAGGCATCTTATATGAGTCGACATTTTTAAATTACTATCTAACCATATGCCA